TTTGGCCAGCTTTTGCAATTGGGTTTGTGGGGACGGTGGGAAGGTAGAGCAGCTTGGTTCGTAGGCTGGAATGTGGAGTGGCGGCTGTGGTGCTAGAGTGGTGAAAGAGAGAGCTGAGCAAGGATGGATCTAAAAAAGATCTTGTCTTCTGCTTCCCTTTACAGCTGTTGGGTTGTATTCCCTTTTCAATTTTTCATTTTCTTCTTCTTTTTTGAATTTAATGGGTGATTAGCGTGAAGTTTAGGAAGATACATGTGGTGTGACAAAAGCACTTCATTTTTAGAACAAATTCTGAGAAGTAAGTGTTCTAAGAGTTGTTTGCCATTAAAAAAAGTGGGCAAAAGGGTGGGACATTGGAGCAATGGAATGGGGAGGGGGAAGGTGGTTGCGCGATTGGGAGGGCCTGCTTGGTTTTTAAGTTTTAAAAAAAAAAAGTTAATTTATTTTTAAATATTTAAAATAATTTCTCCATGGCAAAACTATTTATTTTTAAGCTACCTAGACAGCGGAGTTAACGATTTTCATATCAAAATTAACGGAACGTGGCAACTTTAGTCACATAATTAAAGTTCAGGGAGGAGATTGAGTCATTTAAAACGTCAAAGGGCAAATTGAGACAATTTTGATGCAACAATGGTATCTCAACAAATAAGCCTAAATTTTATATACCTTAGTTTTTTGGGCTAACGTCAAAAGACCCCCTGAAGGTTTGGGTCATTCTCAATATTAGAGAGTTTTTTGACGATAGCCCTAGTGTTTTTTTTTTTAAATGCGATTTATATATCTTAGTATGACTACACTTTGAATCCGAAAACGTATAACTTAATGGTACTTCTCACTCTAATGTTAGAAGAGATTTCAAGTTTACTTCGTCCCTCTCGATTAATATAAACAAAAGAGTTGAATTAAAAGAAAGTCAACACTATCAAAAATTCCATATATATATATGCAATACTGAACAGAAATTCATTTGGCCCTTAATTCGAGGGAACCACAAAATGAAAGGGCACTGATACAATGACAAACATGTCACAATAATAATCCAAGAAAAATGAAAGGCCAGCCTCATACAATACAAGGCAATTGAGCCAAAATGATAACCCAGTAACATAAGTTTTTAGGTCACTATCACGTGATGTGATAGAACTATGGTATTCTAAGCTCTCTTTTTATCTAACCTTTTTGGCCACCAATAATTTCCTTTATATCTTGTCATCTCTCGAGCTAAATTGACCAAATACAGCTATTTATATATGTATGGGCCACTGTTGTTAGGTAAGGTGTTGCATCTATATGACATTGATTTTAGGTCATTATTCGAAGATTATTTATTTTTTATAATTTAAAAAAATACAAATCAGAAATTGTTTGGTTGTGTAAAACGTGCAAGCAAACAAAAACGTAGTTCCTTATATAAAACTAAAAAAGGAAGTGTGGATAATTAAATGGATAAACAATTTTGTTTTAACTAAAAAAGGAAAGAGAACTTAAACTTGAACTGTTCCGATCGTTGTATGAACATCCTTATTGGAGAAAGTCTTTGATAAACTAAAAGTTACTTAGAGCAACTCCACCCATTAGCCTCTTGTCATGGCAAGGGGGGAGCTAGGGCAGCCACTATTCACGTGAATAGTGATTGCCCTTACAAATAGTATTGTATGTTTTCACCCGTTGCCATGGCAAAGGGCAATTACTATTCATTTTTTTGTTTTTTTTCACAAATTTGTTTACCTAAACAATTAATTTGGATAATATTTTCAAATAAGATTTTTGGGTTCGTACATGTCAATATTTATTATAAAATTCATATCTCAATCGGATATAATTTTGGTATTTATAGAAAAAAAAAATCACTAATTTTTTGGTTTTTTTTTTTAATTCGATTTTTATTTTATTTTTTATTGCACAAAAATTGGCTGCCGTTGGATTGGAGAAAAAAATCTGATCGGAGAGCCCAGAGCGCGACACGTGGACTTTAGCGGCATTGTAGTACGTGAGCATTGTAGCGGTAATGTAGCTCTGATGTCCGAACCAAAACGAGGGCTGAAGCAGGCCAACCTTGCCCTCGAGCCAGCCCAAGTTGCTAGATCCCACCTTGCGCCTAGACTTGGGCTCCTCGCTGGAAACGGATTTTGACATTTTTTTCCCCCAGCCCGAGGCTCTGTCATGCCGCTGGAGTTGCTCTTAGTACAAACATATTATTGAAAAATACAAAACATTTTTATAATACAAAATCATATCAAAAGCAAGAGAGGGGATTCAAACTACGATTGCAAATCCTAACAAAATAAGAAACTTTTAACTAATAAAATAATCAACAAATATATGAGTAAACCATACACTAAAAAAGATGAAAATTCTAGCCCTCTCTCTCCCAAAAAAAACTCTATAGTCGTTTTACTTTGAGGGGGGAGGAAATCACTGTTCTTCCTCCTCTCTTCCCTCATTTCTTCGTCCCTCTCCTATTCTATCTTCTTCTCTTCTTCTCTTTTCCCTAATTTTCAGAGACAGAAAGTTTCCTCTATTTGTCTTCGTTTTGTAATGATTTTCTCTTACTCATCATATGCGGATGCGTTTCGGCATCGGATCTCCACATACGTTTCAGTGTCGGATCTCTACAACCATCCTTTTTGGGGTTTCTTTATGTTTGGAATAAGTTACAGAGACTCTTTGAGTTTTCTATGTAGTTTTCATATCTCCTTTTGTGAGAGTTTTTTTAACTCTCCTTTTGTGAGAGCGTTTCACCTCTTCTTTTTTAGATCTTTCCAACTCTCCTTTGCGAGAGCTTTCTATCTATCATTTGCAAGAGTTTTACTTGTATTGTTATGGCTTGGTTTTTTCAAGATTTATCTATTTTCGGTTATTCTGAGTATTTTCTTTTAATTGGGATGCCTATGCCACAATTTCTTCGATCTTGCTTGATCGTTAGTGGAGGATCCTTAGATTGTTTTAATTTTGATGTTAGATCGCTATGTTATTGTAATGGCCATTTTGTGGTTAGTTTGTATTGGTCCTTTGTGACTAATGTTTTTTTTTTTTTTTTTTGGAGGGCTGAATTATGAATGCAAATTTCTCACCCAAAAACAAAAAAACAAAAAAAACATACACCAAAACGATATAGAATAAATTAACCAAGAAGAATAGTGAAAAATATTTGTACCATTTACTTCATAAGGTCAATAATTTTGAAAGTTGACTATGCTTTTATCCAATTTATGACTCAACTACTTGAGGTTGTAGTAAGGCACTCATGCCTGCCATGTTAAATATATGCAAAGACTAGTACACACTATGTTTGCTCAATTCTAAGGATATAATAAGGATATAATATAATAAATACAATCAAAGGAGCGTGAATATTACTTTAAGATACATAATGTGCGCAAAGTAACAAGTCTAAAGATAAATATATAAATGGAAAGCAGTCTAAAAAAGTTAGATAGACAAGACCTTTCCATCGTAGTAATATCAAATCTTAAATTGTTCTTGGTCATAGGATCACCAATTGAATAACGGTAATCGGCAAAGACTAGTACACACTATGTTTGCTCAATTAGGAGGATGACTAGTCTCAAGTCGTTCGTGTAGAGACACTGAGATAGGTGTGTAGGTGCTCTATAGAGATATGTTTGAATTAACCCGACCAAATCGCCAAACTCGATCACAAAAGGGTTGAGTTGGGTTGGGTTGGCCTAATAATGAGTGGGTCTTGGGTCCAAGAAATCATAAACCGTTGTATATCGGGTTGGAACCAAAATTGACCGAACCCAACCAATGCTTACCCTTAGCAATATGTATATTTTGCCTACTCCGTTAGATGAGGAAAATGCTAATGTAACTATTCAAACCTTATTTGCGTACTCCTTTACATACTCCCTTGGAGATGCTCTAAATAATTTCGTATAAGACATTTACTATTCAAACTCTCAATGTGTGAGCTTTCACTTTAAATCTGTTATGTTAAAACATCATATAAGAAATACAGAATAACAAATTCGAGAGTGTGATGAATAACATTCCACTTGTACAAACACTAACCCTACCATTCTTCCTCGCATCTCCTTTTCCTCACCATTCCTCTCGCAGCCTTTCCTCCTCCATGCTGCAAATGGTTGTAACTTGTGCACCAGAAAAGCAATCCGAAATAGAAAGTTCCTTCACACCATTAATTATAATTAGTGTGACAGCTTTTAAGAGCAAAAAAGTGAACATGTCATGTGGTGTACGTGCACATTTTGATCACTCTCTTGTATATCATTGGTCCACACCCTCTCTCTTCCTGCACGTGGGAGGTCTCAATGTAGAAATTTACAACTACATAAGAGAAGCTTGTGCTCACAAAACATTACCAGTAAAACAAAGTTCATGGACCATCACAAAAGCGCAGCAACAATTTCTCTATACTCTATAGCCAGGGGTTGACCAAAGAAAAATACTCTATATCCGACGTTGAAACAATGCAATCATTGTTTCTAGGGAGACTCTAAGACGTTTATACAAATTATTACTAGGTAAACTAATATACCTTAATCTTACGATCAATCGCAAAGATATCGGGCGACTTTTTGGAAATTTCAATCATATAACCATCAAACATGTTCCGGCATTTAGTTTAGTAATTTCTCCTTAGATGTACTTATTATAGTTTACCTTGATTTGTATGGTACTAAGATCCGAAAGGATCTCATTTGTGACGTGTTTCAGTTTTTTTTTTATTTATAAAAAAAGCAATCAACGTTGTTTCTTTTTTTTAGTAGAAGAATACAATAAACTTTGACACGCCTACTTGGCTAACCTACTTCAATATTCAAGTATTTCTTTGATTTCCATTTTGCAATTTATATGCCTTTTTAATTGCTCGCAAGAACAGTTGTCCACATGACAAGCAATGAAGTGGATATATTGGGGAAGATTCCACAAGGACGGTTTGGTCGGTGCACAATCGGACATAAAAAAATGCAAAAATGAAACCGACATTAGGGTTTTTTTTGAATTGCAAGTTTTCTTTGATCCAATACATTTTCAGTTCAAGGAAAAAAAAAAAAAAAAGGTACCAAAAATTGGGATGGTTCGAATAAGAAAACACTTTTACACAAGAGTGGCGGGTCAGCCCAATTTACCGACGGGCTTGGACTCGGGTGCGGGCCTAAAGTTGCCCGTGACCCGATATCGGGTCACTCTCGCCCACACTCTCACTCTTACTTTCATTCTTGAGCCACTGTTTCTCCTTGCCTTTCTTCAACAACTTGGGCCTGGGCTTTGCGGGCGTCTTAAGATACCGGGCCTGCGAAGCCACCATGTCCCTCAAAACCCTTATAAGCCTGGCCTCAATCTCGGCCCCATTGGGCTCAATCACACCCAAGGCCCTGGCCACAGCCTCCATGGTACTCACGCACCCACCAAACGGCTCTTTCCGCAAAACCAACTCCGAGTCGTAAATGCTCCCACCACTCGCACTCTCATCCACATCCAAACAAACCCTGCTCGCAAACGTCGACAAAAACCCCTCGCTGGCTTTGACCATCTCCCTGGCATGCTTCCACGTGGCGTCGAAGGCGATAAGCACCAGAGGGGAGTGTTTGGAGACGGGTGAGCTGGGGAGGTCTGATAGGCTGACGGCGGGTGAGGCTTTGGTTTGGGGGAAGAGGTAGATGGCGGGCGGTGATTGGTCGAGGAGCGGGGAGAGGCCTGGCTTGAGCTTGCGCGCAACAATGGCGGTGGAGTTGGAGAGGCATTTGGTGAGGATTGGGGTTGTGGAGAGCTTGTGATTGGCTTCGTGGGGGTGGTGGAGGATTACGATTTGGGTCTGGGTTTTGATGGGCTGGGCCGGGAGAGAGTGGCAGAGACAGACCGGGCCGGGTCGGGTGCAGTTGTTGCATATGGGCCTGGGCCCACGCGGCGGTGGATCGGCGGCGGCGCTGTCGGAGATGTGGATGTCTTCTTCTGGTTCCATCATTCCATGTCAATGTTAAATTATGGACATATGAGGAGCTCGCTTGCTTTATAGAAGGAAGTTTAAACGGTAGCGTTTTGGGTTTATATATTGTTGGGTTCGTAAACGACATGTCGTTGTTGGGGTGAGTGGGTGGTAGTTAAAAGATCTGATCAAATTTGGAAGAGAGAGAGGTCAGCTGACAGAGAGAGAGAGAGATGACGACGTCAGAGTTGGAAGTAAGCGGCAGCTCGTGGGACGTCTCTCAATTTCAACACACCCCTTTTTACTGGTAAGCCTCGGTTTGTTTTGTTTTGTTTTGTGTTTCTCTGCTTGCTTGTGCTAATCATCTGGTAGGTAGAAAAATTAATTACCTTTTTCTTTCTTGTGCGTGTTTGTGAAGTGAGGAGAATGTGTACTTGCTTTGCAAGGAACTGGGCACAAAGGGCATAGCAGATGCCCAAAGTTCTGATCTTTTTGTTGTTTTCATTTCCAATGAGAAAAAACAGGCATGTGCCCTTGTACCCAAGTGACTTAATTGATTTATTTGTTTTTAAAGTTATATATTTTGTCATTTTATTGGATGCTATAGTTTCCCTCTTATTGAATTTACTATTTGTTTGCTGTGGTGCAATATTAAAAAATGGTGAAGATCCCATTGTGGCATCAGAAGGCCAGCAGCCGAGCAGATGGGATTGTTCTCTGGGATTATCATGTCATTTGCATACAGAGAAAAGGCAGAGGTGACTCACCCTCCCCACACTTAGTGTGGGATTTAGATTCAAGTCTTCCATTTCCTTGTCCCTTAGCACGCTATGTCTCCGAAACTATCCGCCCCGACTTTCAGACCTTTTCTGAATTCCAAAGGTATTTAATCACTTGTATTGTATTGTATTGTATTGTATGTTTTTGGCTTAGTAAGTACCTGGCTCAGAGTTTGGAAATTTAACATGCTGAATATGTGATCAGTAAACATTATTTACGACATTCTCTCTGTGGTGGTGCAGGTATTTCCGGATTGTGCATGCCCCCATGTTTCTTCGTTGCTTTGCATCTGATAGGAGACACATGAAAGATTCTGTTGGCAATTGGCTACATCAACCTCCCCTCTACCAGCCCATTGTTGCGGAGGGTAAATGTTAAATTCATCTTACATTTTTTGTGTAGTTTGGTGACGGTAAAATCATTAACAATCAGAACAACTAGATTGGAGCATACCACTTCTAACAAATTTTCATTTTCAATAAACGAACAAGCAAAATAATGCTGCCTTGTTTTTTCTGCTTTATGTCTTTTAGATGAAACTATGCGTCATTTAAAATATCAGATTCTTGAGTTTAGGATCATATTATTAGAATATATAAATATGTGGAGCTTCCATTCTTGAGTTTGGGTCAGATTTCTACTACTAATAGCTGGAAAATGCATAACTTCATGAGAAGCTCATGCTTCGTGTGGTCAGAGTGTTATAAGTTCTGTTTATAATGAAAGATAAAATAAATTTTATTTAAATTCCCTTATGAGATAGAGCAGTTGCTTATTAACAACTATAATTTGTTCTCTTCCTCTCCCTGTTAAATAGTTTTGCTAAGCGAGGTAGTGATAATGCACAACAGAACTGAATTTAATGTTTTTTTCCTTCTTTCCTGTATTTGTGCAGATGGAACTGTTCAGAACCTGAATGAGTACTTCAACATCCGTGCTACAGATGCAGCGACAGGTACAGGAGCTGATATGACCAATGAAGTTTTTACCAAAAAGCTTGGTGTTGTAATAACAGAAAGCCAACTGGAGGAGTTCTTTTCGCAAATTCCTTGATGTATGGAAATTCTATTTTCAGATGGACTAGCACATATAAAGCATTGTTATTTCCTGTATCCTGACCGAGTTTTTCTTGGTGTATCACATTTGGGATTAGTTCTTTCTGGCTGCGTTTTTCTTTCTCCTTGGTAGTTTGGAGAAGTGCAATTCTCCTTAAAGATTGTATGGAGCTTTGCATTTTTAACTTCAATGACAAGAAAGAAAGTTTTTGCAGTGGTTTGCTGTGAGAGAATTCTTGTATGCAGTGGTTGGTTGCAGCCAAAAAATTCTCTCTAATAGACAAATTCTCTTTTTCCTCTTTTGATTTTGGAGGATGTTAAAAGCCGAAGTGGTAACCTGTAAACTTTTGAAGTCATCTGTTAACCTCGATGCTGCAATTGCATGCTTGTATTGCATACTGAAGAAAACATTATGGACTGCGCCAGGAGGTGAATAAGAACTTGTTACTTGTTTACTATTGTCATTGCGAAATAATTCTCTTACTGCTGCCGCCTGCAACTCATTTTCTATTCATCACCTTGTTTCAAGTCAGAATTTGAAATAACATGTATTTTTTTGTTCTTTTATTACACATCATAACCAAATATTAGCCCCCAACATCCGAGTGCTGGAGTTGTTTGAAATGACAAAGAGCTTAATGAAAAGCTCTCATATTTCCCTATTGCCCCATCCATTCTTTAAGACTTCAAGGACAAAATTTGAACCTGGGATTTTCTGCCCAGCATATAAATACAAAACATTTTCAACTACAATTAAAATGAAAGCAGCTCCTCAGCCTTAGCGTATCTGACGTTTCGCCTGATTATTTCATAGTCCCACAGCAGTCAAAATATGTAGGACCTTGTTGTGCAAAGCAGTCTCAAAAGGAAAAGGAAAGGAAGACCTTGTGCAACTATATCAACTCTTGGTTCATAACACCTTCACGGCACTGTCTACCGTCCTAGCCAATTCAATGGCTGCTCCAACATAACTATGTGGTGTTAACTTTAATAGATTAGACTTTGCTTCGTTAGGTAATTCCAAACCTTGCATAAAATCTACTATACTTTCCTTGGTAACTGCTCTTCCTCTGGTTAGTTCCTTTAACTTTTCATAGGGCTCGGGAACACCATATCTTCGCATAATCGTCTGTATTGGTTCAGCAAGAACTTCCCAAGTAAGGTTCAAATCCTTACTTATGCAACCTTCATTGACGTGAAGCTTTGATATTCCCTGAAGTGTGCTTTTGTAGGCAAGAAGAGAATGCCCTAATCCTAGACCCATGTTCCTCAAAACAGTTGAATCTGTCAAGTCACGCTGCCAACGCGAAATAGGCAACTTCATGCTCAGATGACAAAAATTTCCATTAGCCACACCAAGATTGCCTTCACTGTTTTCAAAATCAATAGGGTTTACCTTGTGAGGCATTGTTGATGACCCAATCTCACCAGCCTTAGTTATCTGCTTAAAATAACCCAACGATATGTAGTCCCATATATCTCTATCAAAGTCAATCAATATGTTATTGAACTGGCTAATTGCATGAAAAAGTTCTGCCATATAGTCATGAGGTTCAATCTGCGTAACATAGGGATTAAAGCTCAACCCAAGAGATGTTACAAACTCTTCAGCAATTTGGGGCCAATTGATATCAGGATATGCAACAAGATGAGCATTGTAATTTCCAACAGCACCAGCAAATTTTCCCATTATCTCCACCCGAGAAATCTCTCGTCTTTCTCTGCTTAATCTGACAGCAAAATTTGCCATTTCCTTTCCTAAAGTTGTGGGTGAAGCAGGCTGTCCATGAGTACGAGAGAGCATAGAAATATGAGCATTGTCCTTAGCCATGTTACATACTGCCTCAACCAAATCATCCATGACAGGAAATATGACACTGTTCATGGCTTCTTTCAGCATTAATGCATGGGCAAGATTGTTGATGTCCTCGGATGTGCAAGCAAAATGAAAAAATTCAAGCACCTTAGCTATTTCTGAATGTGATTGGAATCTTTGTTTCAAGAAGTACTCCACCGCTTTCACATCATGATTTGTTACTTTCTCAATCTTCTTTATTTCTAATGCATCATTGGTACTAAATCCATCAATCACTTCTTGCAAATAAGACCGAGCATTTTCACTAAAGGTAGGTACCTCTGTGACTTCAGGAATTTGTGAAAGCCATAGTAACCATTTGATCTCAACTAGAACACGGAAGTAGATCAGCCCGTACTCACTCATGTAAGGCGCCAAGTCCTTGACTTTACCCCAGTACCGACCATCCAATGGTGACAAAGCCATCAAATTCACAAGCTCAGATTCACAAGAAGATTTACCAGATACCATCTTGATCTTCTCAGTAGAAACATTGGTGTTTTTCCTGGTGGCTCTAACAGCCGTGTCTACCATCCTGGCCAGTTTAACAGCTTCTCCAACATAGCTATGCGGTGTCAGCTTTGACAAAACGGTCTTTGGTTCTTCAGGTAATTCCAAGCCTTTAATGAACTCTCTTATTCTTTCTTTGGTAACTGTTCTTCCTCTTGTTAGTTCCTTTAGCTTCTCATAAGGCTCAGGAACACTATATCTTCGCATAACAGTTTGTATTGCTTCAGCAAGCACCTCCCAAGACTGGTTCAACTCCTCACTTATGCGAGCTTCATTAACCTGAAGCTTTGCTATTCCCTGCAGTGTACTTCTGTAAGCAAGAAGAGAGTGCCCCAGTCCGACACCCATGTTTCTCAGAACAGTAGAATCAGTCAGGTCACGCTGCAAACGCGATTTAGGCAACTTCTCACTCAGGTAGGAAAGATTTCCACTAGCAACACCAAGATTACCTTCACTATTTTCAAAATCAATAGGGTTTACTTTGTGAGGCATTGTTGATGACCCAATTTCACCTGCCCTCGTTGTCTGCTTGAAGTAACCCAAAGATATGTAACGCCATATATCACTATCAAAGTCAATCAATATATTATTGAATCGGTTGAATGCATTAAAAACTTTTGACATATAATCATGAGTCTCAATCTGAGTAACATAATGATTAATACTCACTCCAAGAGATATTACAAACTCTTCAGCAATTAGGGGCCAATCAATATTAGGATATGCAGCTAGATGAGCATTGTAATTTCCTACAGCACCAGCAAACTTCCCCATTATCTCAACTTCAGAAATTCTGTGCCTTTGTATGCTTAACCTAACAGCAAAAATTGCCATTTCCTTCCCCAAAGTTGTGGGTGAGGCTGTCTGACCATGTGTGCGAGAAAGCATG